TGCTTTTTAAGGTGGCTAAGAGTTATTTTCAATTAGAGATTTCTTGACCTTGACTTCAGTGATAATATCTGCCTCTTTCTTCACTTCCAAATCACTGTTATTTATAGTTTGCTCTTTAGGTCTGTCTATGTTCGACAATGTATTTCTGCGTAAGTCCAATGAAAGCTTGTTTGTTTTTTCTTAAATTATAATAATAACAATAATGATAATAATAAATCCCCCTCGTTCTGCCCTGCTTTCCCTGTTTCAGGGCAGAAGCCTGCTGGTGCTGTCTTTACAACACTAATTTATCTGTGTTTTATAGAGAAGGGAACAGTAATAAAAGGAGTGTTAGAAGACTATTGCTCCTGCGTAGGGGTTGTGGCAGCTTCAGACTTTATCGAGACATGTGTTACTTTACTAATGGCCGTCAGGACTGAAAGGAACTTTTTGCTGACTTAATTATGCATCATTAAGTCAGACTGCAGTTAGGTCCGTTCACTGAGCTAACCCTGCACCCAGCAGAGTTAATATGCTCACGTAAAACTCTCCCTGCACGTGAGTTTGCATAACATGTTCATTAGGACTAAAGCAGGTAGAGATTATTTCCCTTTCGTAAGTCATATGGGGTGAGCAGAGAACGGGAAGTAAAGATATAATTGCTAGTAAATTTTCACAGCAATCCAAATGGGAGTAGGTGAAGTTATATGCAGTGTGCTTAGGGTTAACGCAGCTGTATCAGCTCCGAGCCCACCGCCTGCCTGCGCTGTGATCTGAGCTCCCTGCTATTGGCTGAGAGCAGGGGAGGGAGGCGAAGGAAGAAAATCCACCGCTTAATTTAGGCAGTGACGAATGGGTTGCTGTGCAGGATGTATCACTCCTGGATGTCTGGGGTGATGCAGATGCTAAAAAGGGAAATGCATTTTCTCACCACAACTCTACAAGAAGGTGTCATGGATGGCAGCTCACCCTGGCCTACAGCTTTTAGCGAGGCTGCTTAAGGTGCTCGGGGGGTGGAGATCTTAATCATATACAACATCATAGTGCCGTGATGCTTTCCCTTGTCTTGTCCCCCCACTTTTCCATGCTTTTGGGCTGGCTGACTCCACATCACAGCCCTTTTGTCCAGGCATTGGCATTTGCTTTTATATTATCTGGACACATCAAATGTGACACCCTTCTGGGCTATTTTGTTCCAGAGCTGTAGCTTAAATATGTTAAGCTGTATCTTGATTGAGCAGGCCTAGCCGGAGTATGTGAAAGACACAACAGGTATGTTTAAGCATCTCTGGCAGAGAATCGTGTAAGAAGCTTCTGCTTGGCTAAAAAATGATGCTGTCAGCTAATGCTGTTGAGAGAGTGAATTCAATTTTTATACTCGGTGTCTGAGCAAGTGGACATTGCTTGTGGAGGCTGCAGCTGCTGGTGTCACAGGCAGCCCAGGGAGGCTACATCGTGATTTGGGTGACTATATATCCAGGGCTCTCACATGCAATCTTTTCCCCACTTAGGATGGATTTTGGGGGAATACATTATTTTCCTGACATTCCTGGATAACCTTCTAATGATTGGGTTCCTACTGAAGTCATACTGCAGTGCTTTTATCGAGAAATGGATGTCATACAGCTGAATATTCTGGGCATGGCCACAGCACATATGAACATGTGTTACTTCCCATTTGTTATGAGAATCAGTGCCATGGAATGTCTAGTCTTAAGTCTTCCTTCAGCTCAAATGTAATTCCACATAGTGTTTTTTGTGGTATACTTTTCTTTAGATCGTAAGTGCATATAGGAACTGTACTGCTCACTCTGCATTTTAACCAGTACACTGCAGTTTCCTCCTCCTCGTCTTCGTTATACTGGCACAGCTGAATGTGTGGATGTCCAAGGAATGGGAGTAGGGAGGAATCCGGCTTATATGACAAAAGGAAAGCACAAGAAAGCTCAAGATCAAGGGGTGCTGTCTGGTATGAAGCCAGAGAGAACCATGGTAGGAACCATTGCACAAAATTTTGGGAAGGGTTTTCAGATTTTTTTAGTACAAGTCTGCTCTGGCATATGGTTGTGGACCACTAGTCTCACCTCATGGCCCTTTATTTGCAGCATGTGCTGGTTATAGGTTAGCCTGATGCAGATTTTGCTTAGTGTGATACTGAGATCCTGCCTGCATGTGCTGTGTGCTTGATGACATTCAGCCAAAGGCTTCAATGTGCCTCATGCAGGCCTGAGATCATAAATGGCTTTTATCTGTAGAATTTGGATGAACAAACGGTCTTTTCTTAGCCCAGCCCAGCCTTATTTGCTTTCTATTTTAGGAGATAATGATAATTGCTAGCTTTTCACATATATACCCAACTGTTTTGCCAGAGTTAAAATCAGGTCTAGTTAAAAGCCCTCTCAGCATAAGACAGTACTGGGCTGTTAGTTTACTTTGTTTCTAGACATTCAACATATCAGTGATATTAGCAGAATTGAAATAATGATGTTAATTTACTCTTGCGAAACACTTCAAGGAACCCAGGAAGAGTAAGTAAATGTCATTGTTGCTATAGAATAATGAAAGCATGTTATCAACCCCTTGTATCACACTTGAGCACAAGAGTAAGTGTGGCAACACCACCTTTTGCTTACAGGAAGCAATTAAACAGGTAGAGATACTTCATGGATCCCTATTTCCTCCATGTACCTGGTTTTGGCACCAGTAAAAATAAAGATAGTGGACTAGATAGACCTTTTGCGTAGAGATATTTTTGTATTCTGACTGCTTCAGAAACTCAGTTAGAAGCAAAACTAAATGCTTTAAAAATCTCTTTCTTGGTTCCATATCTGAGAAATTTCAGCTTCACAGAAGCTTCTTGGATAAAGATGAAGAAAGCAGGGAAAATACAGCAGATTTTTTGAGGGATTAATGTAACAGGGAATGTATTGCAGTTTGGCAGGACCCCAGGTCAGGAATGTGGAAGCTGTCACACTAGGGAGAAGCAGTAGTACTAGGAAGCTGAGAAATGGGTGCAGTTCAGCACCCACTGAGACTGGAGCCAAGATCCCATTTGTTGTCACAATCAGAAGGCAAATTGCGTGGTTTCAGATTTAGCATAAGGAAACGCAGAGTGGAAGGGACCTCAAGAGATGATGTAGTATCCTCCCAAAACCAAAGGCAAGGTCAGCATACCAAAGCCATCCTGACAGATGTTTGCTTGTCCCCTCCTCAGCCCCATGCTGGAAATTCCAGAGCCTTCCTTGGTGACCTGTTCCAGCCTTTGCTGCTGTTACGGAGTGGCATGGAGCCTTGAGCTGGCACGGAAGAGCAGAGGGATCTGTTACATGCTGTCAGTCCTTGTCATTTCATGATTTCAATTTGTAACGTTTGTCCTCTAGAGCAAAGTCCTGGTATTAGGACATCTCAGGGTTGCTTTTCAAGTCCACGTCGTGTCAACAGTCTGTGACTTGCATTTTATCACAAGATACTGTGGTGCTTAGTTCCTTTTTTAAAGGGTTTTGAGAAGAACAACGCTAGTGACAGAAAAAGGGACGTGCTGCAAATGGTGACCTGGATATCAGGAATGCACGGCATATATTTGGGGCTCTCTTGGCCCATTATCCAGGAAACAAAAGTCACGACATTTGGTGTCAAAAGAAGTGTCTCTTCCTTCATTATCAGTTGTGACAATAAACTTGGACTCGCCCTTTTGCAAGGTGTGGTGTTGTCTGGGCTGTAAACCTGTGAGGAGGCGAAGGTTTTCAGGCCGTACCTGCTCAGTCAGCTTGAGCAGTGCAGCCAGGATGATCTTTTCCCTGGTGCTTTGCTCAGATTGCTCTGTTCCTGCTGGTCTCAGTTTGGGTATAATAAAATAAGGAAAATCCTTTGTTACGGGCTGTCTCCTCTGTGGCTTCCATGTGTGCCTCAGCTGATGGGCGTTCCCTTTCTGCTTCACTGGTCTTCCAGGCCTTCCCTTCCCTCGGTCCCTCTGTCCCCTGAGGCTGGGCACAGAAGCTGTAGCACAGTCCTTGCAGTTCAGTGCTGTCTGCCACGTCAGTCTCTTCAGATCTTACCATGTGCTGAACTGCCCCTTACCAGGAAATCTCTTTGAGTGTTTTATGTTTCAGTGGAGAGGAGTGGGAGCCTGGGGCTGAGCCATAGATTTGTGATGTGACATAAGACGTTGTGGCATCCTCTGGGACAGAGGGCATTCAGTGCTCCTGGCTTCAGGTGTGCATTCTGTCATCAGAGTCTTTCGAATTCGCGGTGAAAAGTGAGCGTCAGCTACTAAGGTAGTACAAAAATCCCTGAGTGAGCGACCTTATGTGGATTGGAGATCATGAGAACTACAGTTTCCCGCACCTGCAGGTGGAAGACAACATGCCCTGCCACGCAGCCTTCACTGTGGTCATACTGCTTTCACCGTTGCCTTGGGCCCTCCCTGAAGAAACGTCTCTCCCCTGGTCCGGCTGGGCTGTGCCACCGCCCCTGAGCCGGGTGGGCACCTTGGCCTTTGCTGCCACCCAACGGGCGAGCGCCGCAGTCCCGGAGATGCTCTCAGGCCTCCGTGTTAGCCTCATGGAAGCAGTCAAGACCTTGCTAAAAGCAAAACGAGAAATAACACTGATTGCTTTAGAAGATGGGAACTTTTTGCAGTGATGATTTCTGTAGCTCGTTCCTAACAAAATCTGAACAGCTTGCCTGGCAGTCTTTGAATCATAAACAGCATGAAAAACAGAAGAGGTACTTTCTCTCTTCTACTGAGTATGTCTGTAATGACAAAGATTGACTGTCTGCACAGGACCTGGGAAGCGTTTGAGAAAAGGAAGCCATATCTTTGCATTGCTGTGTAATTCTCCCCTTTGGTTATCAAGTGTCTCTGCACAGGACCTGGGAAGCGTTTGAGAAAAGGAAGCCGTACCTTTGCATTGCTGTGTAATTCTCCCCTTTGGTTATCAAGTGTTGCGATGGGTGGGTGGTTGATGAGGGTTAATGAACCAAGTAACTGACAACAAATGCACTTGTTTGTTTATTTGCAGATTGTGCTGGCTGTGGAAGAGACATAAAAAATGGACAAGCATTGCTAGCTCTGGATAAGCAGTGGCACCTGGGGTGCTTTAAGTGCAAGGCCTGCGGGAAGGTCCTAACCGGGGAATACATCAGCAAGTAAGTAACCTCTGCATCCCTTCTGCACTCTCAGCATGAGTTCTTGTTGCCAGTGGAGAAGAGCTTGCAGCAAAGTTCACCTTTTGAAATCCAGTTTTGACCACCTTTCCATATACATCAAAATCTTTGTTCCCAGTGAGAGCTGATTTGGGAAAGGAAAGGAAACTGAAAAGTGCAACTGAAAGGTGGTGTATAATGATGGTAGTCTATTATTTAATACCAATACGGAAAGGGGTATATCTCCATGTCCCCACAAAGGATTCGGTGAGTTCCTGCATGTGTTTTCTGTGTTAGCCAGATAAAGCTTTGTGCCATTTTGCTTTCCAGTAGGTGATTTTGAGGGAAAAAAGTAAGAACCTGTCCATTGCTTGCCTTTGGTAGAGAATTGAGTAAACGCAATGATGTGATTGTCCTGACACTGTGTTTCTCATCTCCACATTAAAAACTAATGAAGAGAGTTTTTAGTGGAAGGAGGTGTAGAGGAAGAGAATGGGGAGAAGTGCTGTAATGATAAAATAGAGGGAATGAAGATACAGTGTCTGTTCCCCTCTTCAAGCATATAACAGAGAAGAAATAGGGAAACAATGTTTATTTCACAAACCTGTCATTAAGGGGTGTATAATATTTAATAAAAAGTAACATCTGTAATTTCTCAAAAGAAGTTCAGTGCCTGAGAAATACTCCTAGGCTGGCTAGTGTTTCCACTTTTACTATACGTTCCTTGTTCATACTAAAAAACTACATAACCTTACACTTAAAAGTAATTGGTTATACTCTTGCAGACTACAAAAGATTTTTTTGCTGAAGTGAGCAAAAAATACCTGCCTATGATAAAGACTGTGATCTACTATCATAGTTCCACTGATTCCCTAGAACTGCACCACCTGTAGGTGTAGAGCATCTGTTTTGGAAGAATAAGGTTTACTTCAGTGGTTTGTATTGGATGCATTTTCTTGATGGGAATTTAAGGAATAATTCTGAGAGGCACTAATGAGAATACAAATTTTTTTTTTCTTCTACTACAAAATATTTCCCTTGAAATCACTCCCATTTGCCTACTGCTGTTTGTAGGAGTTCCAGACTGAAGACAAGGGAAGACTGTAAGTCATGCTGTAACTTGTTTATTAAAAGGTGCTTTGTAATTTGTGGATTTTCTTTTTCAGAGATGGTGCTCCTTATTGTGAAAAGGACTATCAAGTTCTTTTTGGAGTCAAATGTGAAGCATGTCACCAGTTCATTACCGGGAAAGTCCTAGAGGTAGGTGTTTTGTAAACTAGAGTTTAGGAATTGGGCCATGTCCCATTATGTCCTCATGCAACTGCAAAGAATACAAAAATTCTCATAGGAAAGTTTTTTTTCTGCTGTTTTTAGAGCAAAGTTGCTAATTTTCAGAAATATTTTCAGTGTTTCAGCTTTGCAGTCATCAGGAAAAGTATGTGATAGGGAATGAATTACACTCATTTCTATGGATCTGTGGTTTCTATGTTCCTCTTTAAAGGTGATGTGCAAAGTCTATTGCACTGCTTATTCTGTGACAGATTTGATATATTTATAGAGGTAATTTGAGTATTGGAATCACTTTTGGCAACCATAAGTTTGCCAAAACTTACAACATGAGCTTTCTCTTCTTAAATAAGGCCAGATGATCTGAATGATGCTGAGAAGGTAAGAGGGAGAAATTTGCTGGAAAAGTAAATTATATGTTCAGAAATGAGAAGGCAGAAAACATCTGAACCATCTCTTTTGTTGACTCTTAGTTGGAGTCCTCAGCGTTCTCATTGAAACTGGGCAGATCTTTTTAGAGATGTGTATCTTTGTTGTCAGTACTGATCTCCATTTCCCATGGCTGTGATGAGTCCCCTTTGAGCTGGAATCCTTGAACTATGCATGGATCCTTCTGTGTCATCATTGAAATGTTTAAGGGGCAAAAATGCAGAGGACCTTCCTTGTCACACTGTCATTGAGATATGAGAAGCAAAACTGTTATCTCTTTTCCCTGTAGGAAACTCTGTTCAATGGAAAAAACCTAAGCTTTGAGCTGAGGTCTGGAGCTGGGTTGTATGGCTTGACTCCAGCTCCAGTGATTTTTAATAGTCCACTTTTCCTGGAAAGAAAGCATTTACATAATAAAGTTTGTGGAATAAATGGGGAACCATGAAGAACTTCAGTTTCAGGTGTATTTTGTGAAAAAGAAACTGGATGTACTGTGTGTTTTACAGTGAATAACAGAAAATAAACCTGAAAGTGTTTCAGAAATAAAAGCAGCTGGAATTTGCTGGTGAATGTGTATTACAGGTTCTCTTCTTTGTGTCCCATCTACTACAGATATAAAACCATATATTATTATATACTGTATGTGTCAGCCCTCATATGAGAAGTTCCAGGTTTGACGTAAAGTGGTAACAGCTTGTGGTAGTTCTGGAGGTTTCTCTCGTTCAGTATTCAGAGTATTAACCCGGATGGTAGCCACCAGATGAGGGACTCGGAATGCATGTGGACACCTGGTGCATTTGTCACTGCACCTACTGGAAGGAAGTACAATTTTTTAATTAGCCAGGCTCTTGGTCTGCCTCCTTTGCGATATGTATCTAGTTCCTTTGAACACCTGCATAGCTAATTAGTAAGAACAGTCTTGAGTTTTCCCTTGAGTAGGAAGGCTGTGTCTCTGGCTTTAATCTAATGGTCTGCTACCATCTGCTTATCTATTCCTGTCTACTGATGAGTTTTTCAGTTTAGTACTGTGTCTTGGTGACACCATAGTTGCATTCCAGTGCAGGAAGCACTGCAGGAGAGAAGTAATTGGATTTGTGGGAGTGGGAAGCATAAAATAATTCTAAAATTATTTTAGATGCACATGATAGGTGCTCTAACCTACAAGCAATGCAACCTATTCAGAGGCATGGAGATGGAAATGATAAAAAAGAAGATTATTGGAGTCTGTGGAGAGCTGGAAAGAAATAAGCTATTCCTATTTGGAGCCTTTTGTGTAGTGGATGTGACTATAGCAAAGTTACACTCATATTACTCTTCCTAGCATCAGTGAGAAAGAAACCTAGCTTTTTGAGAGGATCATGAGCTATATCCTTTCAGAACTGAAGAAGTTGAGATTAAGGAAAGATAAGTTCAATTGAACTAGGATTTACCTGTCCATCAGAATCTAAACTAAAGATCAGGTTATTGGAGACATTGTGTCCCAGGCAGAACCTTGATGCAGTCATTTTGTCCCCAAGGTTGGTTTCACGCTCCACAGTTCTTATTCTTCTGATGGCTATTTATTATCAGAAGAAGACACAACATTTTGCTGAAGCAATGAAATGTCTAACCTCTTGCAAGGATCCAGCTCTTCTAAGAGTCAAAATCAGATAAAAAAGATAAAGATTTTTCCATTTGACCTAGCCCCTGCAGAATCAGAATGTGCCAATGAATTAGAAACAGACCCTTTGAATGATCTTACCAATACATGGAAATATTAAGCATGCTAACTTCTGGGTAAGACTAGAAATTTTGCTTGAATATTTGTGGCTCTGATTATCAGAGGCACAACCCATTATAATACAGTAGAGGGCAGCAGTAGTTCTCAATATGTAACTAAGACCAAACTCCTCTAAAGCCTGTAGTGCACTCATATAACGCAATTCTTTCCTGATCTGTTCAAATGACATTTGAAGGCTGACTGCTATCTGAAAGGTGTGGATCAGATGAGTCCTTAGAAACTTTCACAAAAAAAAATCAGTACTGCGTAGTCAGGGAGGCCATTCAGACATTGGCTTAACTGCGTTACAGTATGTATTAGCAGCCTGGATAGTCCATGACTAGAGTTCTCCAGGTATCATCTGGGAGTGCAGATGCAGGAGAGACATTCAAGCACGTTCTGTCATTAGGTGTTGCTTGAAAAGATTAGAAGATACAGGTGAGCAGCTAACATTCAATAATCAGAGCAATTTATCAGAACCGTGGGCTAGTCTCTTGGCTCATCCTAGAAACCTTTTACAGTCAGAGATGCACAGTTCCAAAGGGGCAGTACTTAATGCCTCTAAATTAGACTAAAGGAACTAGTAAGTCAGAACTTAGGATGAGAAAATCATGTGTCAGCATGTGTGTCCCCTTTGGACAGAAAAGGTAGTCTAAAGGATGGGGTCAGAGCATGACATAAATCCTCTGGTAACAACGGAGATGAGAGATCGGAAGCAGGCACAGGGCCATGGCAGATAATTCACAGAACAGGATGCCACAGTTCAGGGAGGGCTGCAGACCTGTTTGAGGCAGGACAATTAACAATATCCTTATCTAGTACAGGAAATCACCCACAACCTTTCAGTACCCCTCAAGTTTTAATTTAGATGAAGCTTGAGATTCTCACAGAAGGATTACTGTCTTCCCTCTTTGTTTCCTTTGGCAACATTTCTTTGGCAAATTTGGGTATTTTTGATGATTTATATCATGTGGGTTTTCTCTTGTCCTGCTGCCTCTCTTGGGAAGGAAACCACATTCTTGGTGTGATGGAGCACAGTTACAGGAACTGTCTAGGTAGAGGTTATGCTGTCACTGACCAGCCCAAGTTATGCCTACTAATGTCAGGTGGGAAAAAAACCAAAACACTTTGTATTTTGCCTTTGTTAATAAAAATGATGGTAGTAAATTCACTGATCAGTATCTTTCATTTTATTTGTCAATAAAATAATTTTTTATGTCAGGAGCAAAGTATACTATTTCATCATCTTCATCAAAAGAAATGATTAGAAGAGATTGGAGGGAAGTATATAGTACATTGTATACAAACACTTCCCTCTAAGGGATCCTAAGTGATTAGCAGCATGCAATTGTAGTGCTGCTTTATTTCCTGCTTATTCTTAGTAAGTCTGGGACAGTCTGTAGAAAAACTGAAGGCAAATGAAAGAAACTTAGCTTTGGGTTCACAGAGGCTGGTGGTATCTATTTTTTCAGTAAGAGATTAATTTTTTTGTTTAAAGAGAAACTGAGATTCTTTGCAACATTGCAGGCTTGCAGCTCCTGCTCATTTTTGTCCCTCAGTATGCCTTAGCATCTCTGAAAAATCAGGCTTTCAGTCTTCTGCAATGAGCAGCCAGCAAGAGAGAGAACCACTCCTGATGGGGACCTAAGAGTCTTCATCCCAGACACAGCTGTGCTGTGCCCCTGGTAGGCACCCTCAGCAAAGCCTGTCAGAAAGGCCAAGGTTTGAGTTTAAAGCTTGAGATTCAAACCTTGAGAGGATGGACTCCCTCCAGCCATTCTGTAGAGGTGATCCCTCTGCTCAGTTAAGAAATGCATTACTAGAAAAACAGTGCTTATTTTGCTAATATCCACACACCATGGAAGAATGCTCTTTTTTCTAGGCCATAAATCTAACAACTTTCAATAGCCATGAAAATATGCAAGAAAAATACCATGTGCATTTAAGTCAGCTCAGATATTTCTCATGTATTATTTGGCATATAACTTTCTGTGACAAATAGTCACGGATGATAGATGAGTGCATGCCAACACAATAAATGTGATAAGTATCCAACATAAAATAGATATTGCGACTTTCTTGAGCATATCAGATACTTTAATACTTGAGTATTTCAGGATAATGTTGTCAAGGCAACAGAGATCAGTGTTCTTCCTTGGGTTTCTCCAGCAGAAAGGAATCTTTATTTATGAAAAATTACTCATTTCCCATTAACTCAGGTGAAAAACATTTTTATCAGGCAATAACAGCATAGTGAGAACGAGGACTTTCACACAGACTTTCCACTAAGCTGTTGTTTTCATAGCTTCAAGGCTTGCCTATTGGAAGATGCCTATCTGATCCTAATCCTGCAAATTTCTCTGCAGACATGTGTAACTCCAGAAATCTAAGTAAACTTCAGCACATATTTAGCTATTTGAAAGATGCTGGCCTAAATAATTTGTGGATAGTGGTTATCATACACAATATAGCTATTCTTCCAGGGCTTAATTCAAAATATGTTAAATCAATGAGAAGCTTTCCATTGATTGCAGAGAATGGTGGATCATGCCTGTATCCATGTAATTAATACATCTCTGCTTATCCAAAGTGTTTTACAAAACTTCTTAGTAGTATTCTTCTAGTTCTGCAGAAAGAAGACATCAGGGCATAAACAGGTGGATCATTTGCATGAAATCATACAGAAAGCCTGAGAATAAGATTCAGGTCTTAACAATTTTAACGTTTTTTGGCTGTTACTGATACGAACAGGATTTGATCTCATGATCTAGAGATCGAGATGTAT